CTTAAAAATACCTTAACAGTCGGTGTAAAACGTTCAGGAAACATTTTGCCGTCGAATACTCCCAAATATAATTTGAAATGGACGCAGAATATATAGGATGGTTTACAACAAGTCGACAAGATAGCCTGTTATTATAAATGGAGCTCTTGATCCTAATACTCGTCCTCTTGCTGCAAATAAATGTTACCTGAAGAAATAGGCGGAGCCTGTTGAAATCAGAGAATAATTGTTTTCTTTATCATATCTATCACTTCAAGTAGTGATTCGCTGGATCGTAATGCTAATGGAAATGATAATACCTAAACCAGTTTCGGTAATGATGTACACGATTTCTAGGTAAACAATAATTATAAAGAAAAGATGATTGACGAAATATTTGTTTTCATATTTGAAAGTAAAAAGTAAAGGGAAAAAAGAAACAGAAAGCGACAGAGACAAAAAAGATGAAGTGGTGTCCTGCCATTACAAGTCAAGTACCTAAACAAACTATACAACCTCCTTGGTAAAGTGATTATAAACGAACATTTTGTATCACCTTTCTTGAGTATGGCAACTAATTAATTTCTCTCTCTTTCATGTTCAGGCTAAGCGACGTGCACTTTCATATTGAATCGAACACAACCTATAATGTCTTGTTTAATGGACAAAACCAATAATCTGATCTCTTATGATACTTTCTAAATAGGAAAATTCGAGATGCTTTGTCTGGAAATATCTGCTAATTATTACTTGTTGGAAATAAGGGTGAGTCCTGGTAAAGATGGAAGATTTCTTTGTGGAGCTTCGTCATTACTTGTGTATAATTATTGAAAGAATACCCTAGTTGAAACATCTCCTGCAAAAATAGTATCGCTCTTAAAATGCCCTCTTAAACGAAATATAACAAGAAAAAGCTGACATTCTTTTTACTGTAAATGTATGTATTTTGTTTACTATAGGGCCCCGCTCACAAGCTTAGCCTCTAAAGGGGGTCCTAAAATCATTCAGTTTATGATGTAATCAAGTTAGAATATGTTGATTGATGTACTATTACCAGTCTCTTTTTCATGTAACAGATTATATCATGCTTTGTGTGCTTTTGAATAAAACGAACTGAACTGAACTTTGTTTGTGTAGTTCCATATACCCATTTCAGTGTGCAGTACATGAATTTGTAACCTTTTTTTTTGGTGTATTTTTACAGTACACAGTAAAGTTGACATGGATGGTTTGCCCGTCGATTGCGATCATAGATTCTTCCTGTTCTGTGTTACAAAACAAATTATTACTTGAAAATGCCTGATGCAAATGTGCTTGTAAAATAAAAAGGCTTAAAAATACCTTAACAGCCGATGTAATCCGTTCAGGGAACATGTTGCCGTTGTATAGTATCTAACTTGGAAATGGAAGTCGAATATATAGAATGGTGAACAATAATTCGACAAGCCTGTTATTAATGATGGATCTCTTGATCGGTTTGAACATCCTCTTGCTACAAATAAATGTCACCTGACAAAAAGGGAGGAGCCTGTTGAAATCAGGGAATATTTCTTTCTCTATATCATATCTCTTACCTCAAGTAATGATTCGCTGAATGGTAATGTTAATCAAAATAATGACATCTAAACCAGTTTCGGTAATAATGTACAATATTTATAGATAATCAAAATTAGAATAAACGAAAGATGATTAATGAAAGATTTGTTTTCATATTTGAAAGTAAAAAGGAAAGGGAAAAACAAAACAGAAAAATATGAAGTGGTGTCCTGCCATTACATGTCAAGTGCCTAAACAAACTATACAAACTCCAAGGTAAAGTAATCATTAACGAAAACTTGTTATCACCATGCCTGAGTGTGGAAACTAATTAATTTCTCCCTCTTTCATGTTCAGGCTAAGCTAAGTGCACTTTCATATTGATTCGAACACAACCTCTAATGTCTTGTTTAATGGACAAAATCAGTAAACCGATCTTTATGGTTCTTTCTAAGTAGGAAATTCGAGATGCTTTGTCTGGAAATGTCTGCTAATTATTTTTTGTTGGATATAAAGGTGAGTCCTGGTAAAGATAAACGAGTTTTTGTTATGTGGAGCTGTCTCATTATTTAAAGAATACCGTAGTTGAAAAAACTCTTGCAAAGAGGATTGCTCTAAAAAGGCCCTCATCAACGAAATATAACAAGAAAACGCTGAAGTTTCATAGTGCACTCACTCCATAGGCCCTGTGTTGCAGCTCAACAACGGCAAGAGACTAATCAGTAATCTTGGCTAGGCTCAAAGCTTAAAGATAAACTTGAGTTCTGGTAAAAAAAAGAAAATGAATTCTCACAGAATCTAACGAAACTTACACTGAATGTTCAAGATTACAAATAAATGTCATGTGCCAAACAATTTTGGAAGAAAATGTATACTGGCTGAGTAATGAGCATAGAAAGATAAGGAAATCAGCGTAGTACTAGCCCCGACACCATGTGTGTTGTCCCATATACATCTTTATGTGTAAGTGATTGTTACTTTACCGAGACTCTGCCAAATTTATGATGATTTTGATGACTCCAGAAGATTACACACCATTACTTACATGCTATATGGTCAATTTTTCTGATCCATTCCACACCTTTTCTTTCACAATGAAATCGCATTACCAGAACTCAAGTTTATCTTTAATGGAATTTTGTGCAAGTGACAAAATAGAGTCTGTGCAGCGCGGACTAGCCGACGTACAATTTGTTTTTGGTACAGCATAACAAAACATGCATGAGGCAGTGGCGGATCCAGCCGGCGGGAAGAGGGGGGGGGGGGGGGGGGGGGGGGGGGCAATCCGTGAGAAAATATTAGTTGCGACTCAGCCGTTGGTTAATAAGCGGCGGGGGGGGGGGGGGGGTTGAGACCACTATTTTTTTTTGGACCTAATTCGTGAGATTTTTTTGATTTTTGTATTCTTTATTTTTGTTGTTGACCCGTCAGCGGATCCAGCCGGCGTCAAGGGGGGGGGGGGGGGTAGCCAAATCTTAATACAACATTTAGTGCCGTCTCAGCCGGCCGGCGAATAAGCGGGAGGGGGGCGCTTTTGTTTTTTGTTTTATAAAGGTTAACTTTACGTTATTATCCTATTTTTTTTTAATCGTTTTAGGGGGCTGGGTGTGGGGGGGGGGGGGGGGGGGGCGGGGGCCAGGCCGGAAAAATCGCTACGTGGATCCGCCCCTGGCATGAGGTATTGTATATACTTTGTATTAAACCTCCTAGGTAAAGTTATAATAAACGAAAACTTGCTATCACCTTTCTTAAGTATGGAAACTAATTAATTTCTCCATCTTTTAATGTTCAGGCTAAGCGAAGTGCACTTTTATATTGAGATTATTTTTGGCCATTACAAGAACTGAGTTATTGATGTAGACCGTGTGGCTTAAATACCCTTTATAGCGAATGTTATTACCACGAGGAAAGAAGTCAGTCAGCCACTCAATAGTGTTCGACAGTGAAGTCTAGAAGGTAAACGGGCCCGCCCCCCTCCCCACTCAGTGTTATTTAGGGTACGCATATGCTTGTTCCCTCTTTTTGAAAGCACCCCCTATCTGAGGACTGCCAACATTTCCGAACCCCCCTTTCGCGGGCTTTTCGCGGGCTTTTCCTGCCTTGGAGACCCCCCTAAATCATGAAAAATGCTCAATGTACCCCCCTAAATTCGGAATAATTTCTCAGGAGTCCAAAGAGATGAGAGAAAAAAACACCCCCTTTTTAAAGAAATCTCTGGGTAAAAAAGTTATTACACCTCCTTTTTTTTTTTACAAATCTCGGGCCGGACTTTGTCGCACGAAAAGTACCCTTTACCGGACATTTTGGTAACACGCATGGGGTCCGTCCGTTCTCGGAGTGGGGGTGGGGGGAGGGGTAAACGGGTTTCCTTGCATAATTTGAATACTAGGACACTGCTAACGTTTACATTTCACAGATAGGATATACGTGATATATTCCTAATTACTACAACAATATACATATTTTAATGTTGGTTGCAAAAGTAATACACTACCTTAAACATAAAGTTATTATGAAAATAATGAATGTTACCTGGTGGTCTGGCAAAGCAAAAATCCAGAAACCTAACCAACAAAAAGTTCCCTTCACAGCTCATAACTTTGAGGACGACAAATTTAAACCTAATATAAAGCATCAAATACATGTTTCAGTTTATGTGCGTTGGTAAAAAAAAAATGGACCGAAGATCACCCAGTTCTTCCTTTCGAATGTTCACTAGGATTATGAAACTGATTTCTCTCAAGTAGTTATACACCATCAATTTTTGATGTCGTCCGATAGCCTTCATGGCATAATGTATTTGATCTTTGATGTATTTTATAGTTGGATTATTGTCAAATGTATTGCTGCTCAAGAAATTACATTACTTCGCTCACAAAGTAATGCCTTGGTATTAAATCACTTTGGTTCTTGGTTAAAAAGATCATTAGCTAAAAACAATATTAAAGTAGATATACTTGCTTGCGTTATAAGAATAGATGACCATTTCAAAAGTATCGTGTAAGGTCGCTGTTGCCTGCTTGCAATGTTGGAGCTTCTTCAAACTGAACTTCTGTTTAATATGGAGTATAAGGTAAACTTTGTCATCTAGAAGAAGCGATATATATATATATATATAGATATATATATATATATATATTTATGTAAAACTAGTGCTACGCGGACATTCTGTCGGTATATCCCCGTGCTACGGGGACTTGCCGCGTTACGGGGACTCGTATATGTCCCCGTAACACAATCCCTTTCTGACGGCTCCAATTCTTGGATTTATTGATTGCCCTTTTATACCAAGTTAGCAGGAGTAAATTGTAATTTAAATCCGCTGGAAATTTTACTGGAAACGCATTTTCCTGTTTTTAAATAAAGTTTACAAAATAGTATTGATCTTCCCAAAGATCATGACGGACTCTCGATTTCAAAGGCAAAAAGCGCCAACTTGCGTTGAAATATGAACAATCTAGGGTTAGCTGCCTAGGGTTAGCTAGCTGGCTAGGGTTACGTTAGGAAAACTCTAACATTTTCGTACAGTATTGATTTTCGCTTGATCGAGCGACCAGGATATCCGACTGCGATGCGCGCCTCCTTGGCCGGGCCGGCCAGCCGGGCTGGTCGACTCGCGGCTCTAGCTAGCTACTAGACTGGACGCCAAACGGTGTCGTGAATGCATGCACATTTTTGCAGGATCGACATGATTGCTGTCGACGTCGATGTCGAGGCAGCTTACTCGACGAGCTGGACGAAGGCTGGTATGTACTTTACCCTGTGTTGTTAGTTTATCATAGACTAGGAGGATAAATTAGAACTAGATATAGTCTAGATCTAGACTCTAGCCTCTAGGCCTACAAATCTATCGTTAACAATGCATGGCCTCTTTTCCTTTGCCTTTGCTTTTGGCTCTTATAGTCTTATGAGTTATTAATATTATTATTTTAGTGTTTTTTTTGTGGTGAATTAGATTTAGAAACGACCAAACTGAAAGACTGCTGCTGCGGTAAATATGAAGGAGGGGCCATATGAAAGCGATAGATTTGTCGATCTAAATTCTTTATAGATCTAGAACTCCATCTGTCCATGGCCAGGAAGCTCCGACGCCGACGCCAAAGGCGTCGAAAACAGGAATAGACTACTAAACAATACTAGACTAGATGTAGATCCATCTAGAACTACTACTAGTCTCTAGATCTAGTCTAGCTAAACTTGCAGTTACCGTGTTGCACTAGCCGTTGTAGACAAGCGCGTAGCCAGGATTTCATTTTAGTGAGCACGCGAAGCCCGCGTAGCGGCTCCCTAGGGGGATGGGTGCAGCTTTGACGTTTCATTAAATTATTAGAGAAAGAAGACGATTCGTTGGACCGTACTCGACTCTTAATCCTTATCTAAATTCAGTTTCTTTTGACGTTTCATTAGAGAAAGAAGAAGATTGGTTGTACCGTCCTCGGCTCAACTCTTAATCATTGTTTGAATCAAGCTCCCCTTCCTCTGCGCATAGCGCGGAAGCTTTGACGTTTTTAATTAGATTATTAAAGAAAGAACACAATTTGTTGTACCGTTCTCGACTCTTAATCCTTTTTCTTCCTACGTCCTCTTCCTTTCTTCTTTTTTTTTTTTTTTTTTTTTTTTTGGACGGTGTTTTTTTTGGGGCGACCGCCCCCACCTGGCTACGCGCATGGTTGTAGAACTAAAAGGTTAACTGTACTAGCAGGCAGTAGCAGCACATACCCGTCTTATACTATTACATTAGGTCTGAATCTATGACTGAGTGCATCCCCCCCCCCCCCCACCCCTGGGCATAAGGCGCACACTTTACTAAGCCACTCGTACTGTAGACCTGATTTTGCGCGTCATGCAATTGATTAAAAAATTTGCCCTCGGGCTTGGCTGACACTGTACAACTACAATGTACATGCTTGAAGAAACCATCGTCTGAAATCTGAATACTTGTTGTAGATGCTTCGAAATCAGTGAAAAGCTTTCTGTTCGACCATTGGCACATACAGTACATGTACGTCAGAGATTGCAAAGCATGTCAGGTAATTTACAAGAACTTGGCCTATCCCATCATTTTTTGCCGCCATAAGAATTAGTATAATGTGGGTATGTTACTATGTTCACGTAAGGATTTATTGGATCCAGGAGGCCAAAATTGCCAAGTTATGTATTAAATCAAATGTCTGTTCACCCTCTAAACAATAATAATAATAATAATAATAATAACCGAAAGCCACAGTTTCATTGCCCTTTAAGGTAAGGTTGATCCAGGCCAGCATCACATACGTCCCAACACAACATGTAAATCGCTTAAGTTATAACAACAATTCCATGGACGTGGATGTATAGATCTACAGTACCATACAGTACTATACAAATTATGTAATATGGCCCCTGATATCTCGGAAACCTAAATCTAAGCTCATATGGGAGTTTGCTTAATTTCAATTTGGACCTTGAAAACCCTGGGAATGGAAAAAAGCTAAAATGGCCCATTTTTGAGAAACACGTACCCCTTTGCCAAGCTAAGGCTAGATAGTTTGGTAAAGGCAAGCGCCCAAAGTAAACGTACATTGTGTGTGCGCCAATACATTCAAAGCATGGTAGATGCGTACATCCTAGACAATGGACTAGTCTCTATCTGCAGACCCATGAACAATTACTGTAGTATTGTAATGGGTATTCAAATTATACAATTAGTCTGGAAACTATTTTTTCTGAACTTATTAGTGGAATGGACTGGACTACTAAAATCATTTGAAAGAAAACTTTCTCGCCTTTCCATCTCACTTCTATTTTCTATCTACTTTCCTCAGTCCCTCGAGGACTTTACACATGGTGTACCGTAAACCACTTCCGTGATTAAAACTCATTTGTAAGATTATTGATTACGGGCATAGGCGCCGGAAGTGGGGGGGCAGGGGGGGCAGTTGCCCCCCCAGTCAAAAAAGTGGGGGGGGGGGGGGCAAAACGCATTTTTGCCCCCCCCCCCCAAAACGCCCCCCCCCCCTCCAAAAAAACAAAAACAAACAGTAAAGGAGTAAACATGGTTTGTATTTTTAATCCAAAAGAACGTAACAATAATAAAAACCTAAATTAAATCACATATACAATCATCTGTATACAATTCCATTCAAAGAAAAAGGAAAGTTCACAGGAATTAAATTTCATAAACATTGCGCATGCCACCTATACGGTATTTATCAATGGAGATCTCTATAATAGCGATACGCGCATATCGTGGACATATTGTGCGAGAATGGGAAAGCGTGTCCGTTTTTTTTGTTATAGGGGTGAGAAGACATGAGCCACTGAACGCTGGCGTACTGATGGGGGGGGGGGGGGGGGGTGATGTATTTCTTATTTGAAACAAGTGATTTACAAATGTTGATGTTGTGACATGATTTTCCGGCATTTTTTCTCCATTTTTCTTGTAAGTCATACCTTTTTATGCGTTTGTTGGAAAATAAGAAATTCCCAAATTACAGTCAGGCGAAATACGCTTATTTAGAAGCCTTTATGTCATGGTCTGCAAAGTGGCTGAGCTCGACCTCCCCCCCCCCCCCCCCCCCCCCCCTCCTTTTTGAAAAAGTATGTTAAAGAGAAAAAGAAAGAAAGACGGAGAAGAAAAAAAAGTGACCTGCCAATGTCACAAATAAGGTATAAAAAATGCTCATCTGACCGTAATTAAATGCTTAAAACCCCAGAGCTTACGGGGGCTCTGCCCCCGGACCCCACCAAGGGACCGAAGGCGGGCCCCTGGATGCTCATCTGACCGTAATTAAATACCTAAAACCCCCGAGCTTCCAGGGGCTCTGCCCCCTGGACCCCAACAAGGAGGCGGGCCCCTGGATGCTCATCTGACCGTAATTAAATACCTAAAACCCCTGAGCTTCCGGAAGCTCTGCCCCCTGGAACCCCACCAAGAACCCTAGGGCGGGCCCCTGGATGCCCATCTGACCGTTATTAAATACCTAAAACCCCTGAGCTTCCGGGGCTTTGCCCCTGGACCTCACCAAGGGCCCTAAGGCGGCCCCCTGGATGCTCATCTGACCTTAATTAAATACCTAAAACCCCTGAGCTTCAGGGGGCTCTGCCCCCTGGACCCCACCAAGGGCCCTAAGGCGGGCCCCTGGATGCTCATGTGACCGTTATTAAATACCTCAAACCCCTGAGCTTCCCGGGCTTTGCCCCCTGGGCCCCACCAGGGGCCCTAAGGCGGCCCCTGGATGCTCATCTGACCTTAATTAAATACCTAAAACCCCTGAGCTTCCGGGGGCTCTGCCCCCTGGACCCCACCAAGGGCCCTAAGGCGGGCCCCTGGATGCTCATCTGACCGTAATTAAATACCTAAAACCCCTGAGCTTCCGGGGGCTCTGCCCCCTGGACCACACCAAGGGCCCTAAGACGGCCCCTGGATGCTCATCTGACCGTAATTAAATACCTAAAACCCCCGAGCTTCCAGGGGCTCTGCCCCCTGGACCCCAACAAGGAGGCGGGCCCCTGGATGCTCATCTGACCGTAATTAAATACCTAAAACCCCTGAGCTTCCGGAAGCTCTGCCCCCTGGAACCCCACCAAGAACCCTAGGGCGGGCCCCTGGATGCCCATCTGACCGTTATTAAATACCTAAAACCCCTGAGCTTCCGGGGCTTTGCCCCTGGACCTCACCAAGGGCCCTAAGGCGGCCCCCTGGATGCTCATCTGACCTTAATTAAATACCTAAAACCCCTGAGCTTCAGGGGGCTCTGCCCCCTGGACCCCACCAAGGGCCCTAAGGCGGGCCCCTGGATGCTCATGTGACCGTTATTAAATACCTCAAACCCCTGAGCTTCCCGGGCTTTGCCCCCTGGGCCCCACCAGGGGCCCTAAGGCGGCCCCTGGATGCTCATCTGACCTTAATTAAATACCTAAAACCCCTGAGCTTCCGGGGGCTCTGCCCCCTGGACCCCACCAAGGGCCCTAAGGCGGGCCCCTGGATGCTCATCTGACCGTAATTAAATACCTAAAACCCCTGAGCTTCCGGGGGCTCTGCCCCCTGGACCACACCAAGGGCCCTAAGACGGCCCCTGGATGCTCATCTGACCGTAGTTAAATATTAAACCTCTGAGCTTCTGGGGGCTCCCCCCCCCCCTTGGAACACGTCAATTGCCTTACAGAGGGCCCCTGGATGCTCATATAACCGTAATTAAATACCTAAAACCCCTGAGCTTCCGGGGGCTCAGCCCCTTGACCCCCTGCCGAGGCTCATGCCCTGGACCCCACGCCAATTTACGATCTACCTGATCCACTTTGAAAAACGTTCCGCGGGACCTGCATGTAACGTGTAAGACTGGTGGTGATGCAGATTTTTCGTCTCCCCCCCCCCTTCCGAACAATTTTTCTCATTACGTCACTGCCCCTGGAATGTGAGCCCCTGGAATGTTTGCCCCCCCAATCCCAAACTGCTTCCGGCGCGCCTGATTACGGGTGGTGTTTCCGTTAAAAGTAGAGACCTGGTATACTGACAAGATTTGACTCAAGTGGTGTGCACCTGGAAATTGTCAGGTATCGCCCAAAATGACATTTGAGTCTTTCATCCCATGCCAAAATCATTGTTAGATATGCCCGAATGATGTATGAAAGTTTCATTGAAAAAGAACTCTGCTTTCCTGGTTAAAACAGCAATAACTTGTGTCAGATTTTACAACAAATTATTGTATGACGTGTATGCGGTTTATTTGACGCATGGTACACATGATTAATTCTTCTAGAAAAACTAAATTGAAATAGAAAGACAGCATTGTAATAGCCAATAAACATGTGTCAAATTAACATCTTGATCTTTCTGTGCTGTAAGAGAAACCAGTGCTGATATTAAGATAGCAATGAATGCAGAATGCCATTTTGTGTATATTTTTTTTTGTTATGCATGTCAATGTGAAGAGGCTGTGAAACCTCTCCAAATGCAGGGTAAGATTTTCAAAAATTGTACCCCTCCTTGATTTTGTGGAAAACACTGAAATGCATCTTATCATCCTCACATCACTTGGTGCCATACACAGTGACTCGTTTCTCCCAGAATGTCATCATTTTCAGCAAATTCTTTTATTGTGATGTTAGGAAGGCCAATCGGCTAGGTCGTTCTAGGCCGCGTCTTATTTTTTCGTACCCCAGCGAGCCCAGATTCCAGTATGAACTGTTCACCTATTCACCTATTCACCTATTGTTAGATATGTCCGTATGATGTGTGAAAGTTTCATTGAAAAAGAACTCTGCTTTCCTGGTTAATACAGCAATAATTTGTGTCAGATTTTACAACAAATTACTGTATGACGTGTATACGGTTTATTTGACACATGGTTACACATGATTAATTCTTCTAGAAAAACTAAAATTCAGTGTAATAGCCAATGAACATGTGTCAAATTAACATCTTGATCTTTCCGTGCTGTAAGAGAAACCAGTGCTCATATTAAGATAGCAATGAATGCAGAATGCCATTTTGTGTATATATTTTTGTGTTATTATGTATAAATGTCTTCTTATTTCTTTACTACAGTAACAAACCTGTGCAGCATTTGATCGTGAGGCTGTTTGAACAACCACATACTTAGACCAGCACTTAGACCAGCTTAGCATCAGGATGCATGTCAATGTGAAGAGGCTGTGAAACCTCTCCAAATGCAGGGTAAGATTTTCACAAATTGTACCCCTCCTTGATTTTGTGAAAACACTGAAATGCATCTTATCATCCTCACATCACTTGGTGCCATACACAGTGACTCGTTTCTCCCAGAATGTCATCATTTTCAGCAAATTCTTTTATTGTGTTGTTAGGAAGGCCAATCGGCTAGGTCGTTCCAGGCCGCGTCTTATTTTTTCGTACCCCAGCGAGCCCAGATTCCAGTATGAACTGTTCACCTATTCACCTATTCACCTATTGTTAGATATGTCCGTATGATGTGTGAAAGTTTCATTGAAAAAGAACTCTGCTTTCCTGGTTAATACAGCAATAATTTGTGTCAGATTTTACAACAAATTACTGTATGACGTGTATACGGTTTATTTGACACATGGTTACACATGATTAATTCTTCTAGAAAAACTAAAATTCAGTGTAATAGCCAATGAACATGTGTCAAATTAACATCTTGATCTTTCCGTGCTGTAAGAGAAACCAGTGCTCATATTAAGATAGCAATGAATGCAGAATGCCATTTTGTGTATATATTTTTGTGTTATTATGTATAAATGTCTTCTTATTTCTTTACTACAGTAACAAACCTGTGCAGCATTTGATCGTGAGGCTGTTTGAACAACCACATACTTAGACCAGCACTTAGACCAGCTTAGCATCAGGATGCATGTCAATGTGAAGAGGCTGTGAAACCTCTCCAAATGCAGGGTAAGATTTTCACAAATTGTACCCCTCCTTGATTTTGTGAAAACACTGAAATGCATCTTATCATCCTCACATCACTTGGTGCCATACACAGTGACTCGTTTCTCCCAGAATGTCATCATTTTCAGCAAATTCTTTTATTGTGTTGTTAGGAAGGCCAATCGGCTAGGTCGTTCCAGGCCGCGTCTTATTTTTTCGTACCCCAGCGAGCCCAGATTCCAGTATGAACTGTTCACCTATTCACCTATTCACCTATTGTTAGATATGTCCGTATGATGTGTGAAAGTTTCATTGAAAAAGAACTCTGCTTTCCTGGTTAATACAGCAATAATTTGTGTCAGATTTTACAACAAATTACTGTATGACGTGTATACGGTTTTTTGACACATGGTTACACATGATTAATTCTTCTAGAAAAACTAAAATTCAGTGTAATAGCCAATGAACATGTGTCAAATTAACATCTTGATCTTTCCGTGCTGTAAGAGAAACCAGTGCTCATATTAAGATAGCAATGAATGCAGAATGCCATTTTGTGTATATATTTTTGTGTTATTATGTATAAATGTCTTCTTATTTCTTTACTACAGTAACAAACCTGTGCAGCATTTGATCGTGAGGCTGTTTGAACAACCACATACTTAGACCAGCACTTAGACCAGCTTAGCATCAGGATGCATGTCAATGTGAAGAGGCTGTGAAACCTCTCCAAATGCAGGGTAAGATTTTCACAAATTGTACCCCTCCTTGATTTTGTGAAAACACTGAAATGCATCTTATCATCCTCACATCACTTGGTGCCATACACAGTGACTCGTTTCTCCCAGAATGTCATCATTTTCAGCAAATTCTTTTATTGTGATGTTAGGAAGGCCAATCGGCTAGGTCGTTTCAGGCCGGGTCTTATTTTTTCGTACCCCAGCGAGCCCAGATTCCAGTATGAACTCACTTTCATACATAAAAAGAGGTCACAAACAATTGGACTTCGATTATTTATTGCTTTGCCCCACTATTTATAAAGGCAAAAAACTGAATAAACTGAGATTCAAACCCTCACGTCAAATCCAAAGTCCTATTAGTAACACGCTGTCCTTACCGATTGAGCTGAAGATGAGTTGATGACAGATTGATTTGTGGGATATGTATGAAAAAAATATTAGTCTTAAACATATTATCAAATACTTCAGGGAGGATACCCCTATGAAATTTAAACATAACAATTAATATATTCAGTTTTACCAGATGAAACAAGGAAAGAGTTTTTAACTTTACAACAAGGGGAAGTGAGTGGGTATCAAATTTTACTGTTTGATATTATACGTATGGCACGTTTCTGGAGCAAGAATCATTTTTAATGAGCTTTGTATGTATTTCCCCATATTTCATTGCAATAATTTAAATGTGTTAATATAATCGCGTTATAAATATAGCACAATATCTTGAGATGTGAAAAGTTTTTTAAATTTATACAACTCACCGATACTTCTTGATAGCTTAGAGGAAATATAATTTATGTTTATGATAGCAATGCATAAATGCAGAACGCCATTTTGTGTATGTTTTGATATTTTTGTATTATTGTCTTCTTACATGTATTTGTTTACTACAGTACCATACCTGTGCAGCATTTGATTGAGAGGCAGTTTGAACAACCACATACTTAGACCAGCACTTAGACCAGCTTAGCATCAGGATGCATGTCAATGTGAAGAGGCTGTGAAACATCCTTAAATGTTGGGTAAGATTTTGCCAGATATATCTCATCACATGTGTCGGGACCCTTGAGAGATTTTGTCCCATGAAGAGTCTTGTGATATCTTAGAGCACCTGTTGATGGATCAATTTGTAACTTGGTATGTTCCCACATTGTGGGTGACAATGATATGATTGATATTCGGATCATGGAATAAAAGGTCACAAGGCTTTATGATAACTGCTAAGGTGTACAATATCATAAGAACCAGTTGACACATTACCAGTAATATGTGTATCTTTTGGATTTTGGAGGCCTTTAGATAAAATGTCTCAGGGCTTATATATATTTACAAACATATTGTATTACTGTGATCACATTATTTAGACAAAATATCATCAAGTTTTGTACCTGTATGTCTCTTGAGGGGAAAATATTTGGTCAGAATTTGGGGACACAAGTTCAAAAGGTCAAGGTCATATGACTGCCGGTATATTATAAATACATGCTAAGACTGTTTATAATGGCAAAATCTCAAGAACTGAATATCAGATTTCAATCAAACTTGGTACCTGAATGTATCTTAGGGGACTTACGTACCTTACCATTTTGGGGTCATGAGGTAAAAGTTCAAGGTCACAGAATTTATAGGTGCGAAATGGCCTTTATTTGTAAAAACTCAAGAAATGAATGTCAGATTTTAATCACACCTGGTACCTGAATTTTATGAAGCCAATGTAGTGGTACAATCTTGGGGTCATGAGGTCAAAGGTCAAGGTTACAGTAATCATTCTAAAATAGCTTGTAATTATGATTTCTCAGGATCTGGTTGATGAATTACCATCAAAGTTGAGTTTACAGATTAATTCAGTGCATGTTAATTTTGGCTTGATAGCGGAGTCATTATTTTCAACTGAAGATGATCTCTTGCTCCTCAACCCCTTACGATTCTTAGGATTAAATGAATATCGGCCTTACCTTTCCCAGTTTGCATATGTTTTTGTTGTTGATAGAGTGCTTATCAGGGTCAATCTTTTTCGTCTAAAAGACAAATTGGAAGATTAGTCCCAACCATTTGTATTATCTTTATGCATTGATAATTGCCACTGATATGCCCATTTTCTTTCTTTTGCCCTATAGGTATCGATGGATATAGGGTCAACCACACAGTTTATCACCCCAATGCGTCAGAGAAAGGACATCAATACTGAAGTGGGTATGCAAATGGATTCCATCTATTCAAAACCATGAAAGAACCTGCTATGGCACAACCAGTAATGATGTTTCCCTCAAGCGGAAAGCAGTAGAGTGGACTTTCGTTTGATTAGTCGCCACTAGCACCACAGAATTCATGTACATTACAGCAGGGGTGTGCATGATCCTAACAGACAGCCATTACCAACATGATCAAGGCCATATTGAATGTTATTGAAATGTATGTTTTCCATAAGTTTCAGTAAATGGAAAGCATTGTCACTTTTTGTTTAAATTCCTATCGCTTAAAGAGGTAGTTCAGTTTTGGTAAAGTGGGTGCTACACAAAATAATTTGTTTGTGAGATAATGAAAATCAAGTGTAAAATTTGAAATTTTGAAACAGCTGAAATATCAATAAATATATCCAGTCAGAATAAATTTGGGCCCCAAATTTATAAGATGATTTTTCTAAAAATTAATAAAATGCTTACACTTTTCAAACATTTTTAAAAGAGGTTTTTAAAAAGTTGTTGATGATTTCTTTATATCATCATTATTTCAACACAACATCACAAGCATAACTTTGTATGAAAAATGGTTCAAACCAATGTTTTTTTTAGAGCGCCTTCTTGTGTTTCAATGGCTCTTTTTGAATGATAACAGGTTATTTTTTTTCCATAGTCTTCGTAATTTTCTATAACTTTCAAGCATGGTGAAATAATAACTATTAGATTGTAGTGTTGTTGTTTTATGGTAACTAAAGCTTAGCTCTACCAAAATTGTACTACCCCTCTCAAGGGAATGTCCACCATTTACATCGTCTGAATATTTTCTCGTAGATGGATGGGGACGAATTCAATATTCAAATAAAATGTCAGGTCGAACACCTGTTACCGGTATTTGGATTCTACAAATGAAAAACGTGTGTGTAGAAATCATCCCTTCCTTAAACTACACAGCAGCCATTAACCCTTACTGTACTGGGCTATTTTGAGCACCCACTGACTGGGGGGGGGGGGGGGGGGGCCTGGGAGGCCCCCCCCCCCTATGATCTTGGCCGTCGATTGTCCGATGAACACGAAAATTTGCATGTTTGTAGATATTTACGTAAGGAACAAGATGGTATAATTAGTTTTTTCCGAATATGCAAATTTTTTTTGTTAGCCTAATTAATTATGCAAAATGCGCTAATTTTATGCATTTTACAGAAAACGTGTCAAACTCCACTTTTTGAATGTTGAAACTCATTATTCATATGAAACTTCTTTTCTAACACAAAAAAGTTATTTAAATGTGATTAATAATGACAATTTATTTGGTCTATGCAAATTTTGATGGATTTTATTTTTTTTTTTTTTTTTGATGACATGCGCATACTAATTGTAATGTAACGCGTTACAGGTATATCCGATTTTGACGAAAATTGTATCAAAATGTGCGTAAGACTTGAGGAAAAAAAGTCATGAAACGACAATTCAAAATTCCAAGCGGTTGCGGCGCAATCTCCGAAAATGTCGAGGGGGGGTGCCTCCCAGGCCCCCCCCCCCCCCAGTACAGTAAGGGTTAAATGTGTTTAATTTGATTTAGCATAATGTTACTACAATGTTGGAGTTTTGACATAAAGATATTGTATGGACAACATTTCTTTCAGGTTTGACACGAACAAGTTCTCGAAAATTGACAATGAAAATTACATATTAGCTATAAGTTTTATAAGTCCTAGATATTTTGTTTAGTATTTGCTTGCACCATTGTTCAATCACAATCTGTGTGCAGTTTATTTGGTGATTGACCTGTGGAGATAAATACAGTTCCTGTTGAAAACTCCTGTTTCACGTTTGACACATGTATGGCATGACGTGCACCAAATTGCACCATGTCAAGTATATATGCAAAATCTTCCTTACCGTGGGAGGGAGGTAACCCCCTCCCCCTCTGGCTCTGCCCCAGCCCTATGTTGCTTCGCTCCCTCGGGACTCATTCTTGGCTGTATGTTGTTGGATCATACATAATGTTGCATATATGGTTTATGTTGGAACTGCATATGACACTAAATACAATAATATTTGCATGTGTGTGTATTGGGGTGCATATGTCAATTATTTGTTTTCTTCGTGAAAAATATATTACAAATTTCTGGTCGATCAAATCATAAACACCCTTACCCAGATATAGTTAATCTTAAGCCTCAATTTCATATCTAGATATGCACCAGATTGCACAATTTCAAGTCCAAAATTGCAAAAAGCTCCCTACCGTAGGAGGGGGACACACCCCTCCCACCCTCTCCCACACCCTCCCCCGCTCAGTCGCTTAGCTCCCTCGCAGTGTCTCACTCTCACCTCTGGCTCAAAGTTGGCAACCCTGGTACTGCATGTGTATTGAATTGATCTCTCCTTGAAAATGTTTGTATAAATATATGTTCAAAATGTCAGAATAAAAATGTAGTACAAACACATAGTTTAATCTTTACCGGGTAATTGTACTAAGTAAACCATATTTCAGTATTTTCGAAATACATTTGTCAATATAATACCAACAAAGTACAAACTCATACAACATGGGGCAAGACAAACTTTACATACTCAGCAATCGTTATGTTTAATGTCCAGCTTTTTGCAATGATCTAGCTAAACATACAGGCCCGAATTCACAAAGCAAGGTTTAGCTCAGACCAAGGTTTAAGTTTAAACCTCCTTTTGTTTCGCCAAACCTCCTTTTGTTATTTATAAACCTTGTAAATAACAAAAGGAGGTTTGGCGAAACAAAAGGAGGTTTAAACTTAAACCTTGGTCTGAGCTAAACCTTGCTTTGTGAATTCGGGCCACAACGTTCTTGTTCACAGTTGTTATGCCTCCGCCAACACCAGAACTCTTAGTAAGGCATTTTATCATGGATGGAATTAATATCATAGGCTTATTAGTACTTACATACTCGTGAACTAACCAGATACAAATTGATGTGTGTATTTGAAAATCTAACTTTAGTTCATGTAAACGTACAAAATAAACCTTTTTATATTAAATTCAGCACATTCATGTTCTCTACTTTGGTTTATTATGACTAACATGTCGGCATGATGAAATATGAAGAATGATTATGATAGTGATGATAATGATGATATTGAGGATGAAAATGGTAGTGGTGATGAGGAAGAATATGATGGTGATGGTGAGGGTGATGAAGATGGTGACCATGATGAGGATGATGTTGATCCGACCTTTCCCGGCTAGGCTAGCTGAAAAGGTAACTTTGTGAAACCAATTGGAACTTGTTATTTATATCTAAAGGACAAACGAATGACTGTGCCAAACTTTTTAAGTGGTGGGGTGTAGCCGCCAGACGCCCCCAAAGACCCAAATTTTCCAGCTAGGCTAGACTAGCTAAAGACGTAACTTCGTGAAACCAATTGGAACTTGTTATATATATTCAACATCATCATGCGTATACGTATAAAGCATTAAATTAAAACTATGTATAAATATGTCTGAAAATATGAGATATTGGGGGTTTCTAGCTGAAAGGGCATATAGTGGCTAATCGCGTTTATGGAGACTGACATCCGCGCGGGCGTCAGCCGATGTCAGTCTCCTTAAACGCGATTAGTGCACTTGCCATAGAGCTCGACGCATATCAGATAGGCTACAATAATTATTGCTGCTCTCAGGTGTATAAATGGGGAACCGGTAGAAGGTGAAAGCCTTTATGTGAACGATCTTCTCAATGCCCATGAGCCGCTTGGAAGGATTGCTCCCCAGGGAGTTGAGATGGTGCACACAATGTGTGCTGGTTTGCGTTGTTTTCTATGACCGGGCTAATAATATCATTGTAAAGCGCGTATCATCCATATTAGGCGCTATATAAATCGAAACATAACTTTTAATCATAACTTATTATAGTTAACAAATATTAGTTTTAGTTATTATTACAATGCCTAGGTTATTTTAGCACTTTGCAACTCCGAAACAAGAGGGCACTGTTGTAACCAGTATTAGACAGGACTATGGGGACAATATTTGTAAATATATGATGACTATTTCATTTGTGATCATGAACGTCGATCAAGGGGGTCATCTGACCGACTTCCTGTACAAGTATATTCAGGAATTCGCGCTATATGCACATTCATGTGCATGTGGCTTGTCAAGATTGGTAGAGCGCACGCTTTCCGATAATAGGATCCCGAGTTCGAACCCTTCCCACTGCCTTTTTGTCCTTCATCAAAACAATTTATCCACAATAATATTATTGATGCTTTATACTGGGGTGTATGAATGAAGACCCGGTATGAGGTAAAAGCCGTCATGTAAAAGATCCTCTCAATGTCCATGAGCGGCTTAGGAGGATTACTCCTCGGGGAGTTGAGATGGTGCACATAATGTGTGCTGGTTTGCATTGTTTCCTATGACCGGGCTAATAATATCATTGTAAAACGCTAATCATCCAAATTTGGTGCTTTATAACTCGAAATATAACTTTTAATCATAACTTATTATAGTTATTATAGTTAACTAATATTGGCTTTAGAAATTATTACAATGCCTACGTTATTTTAGCACTTTGCAACTCCGAAACAAGAGGACACTGTAGTAACCAGTATTAGACAGGGCTATGGGGACAATATTTGTATAATTATATTATGATTACTATTTTATTTGTGATCATGAACGTCGATGAAGGGGGTCATCTGACCGACGTCCTGTGCTAGTATATTCAGATTTTGCGCCATATGCACATTAATGTGCATGTGGCTTGTCAAGATTGGTAGAGCGCATGCTTTCCGATAATAGGATTCTGAGTTCGAACCCTTCCCACTGCCTTTTTTTCCTTCAGCAAAACAAGTTTTCCACAATAATATTATTGATGCTCTATACTCAGGTGTATAAATGAGGACCTTGTAGGAGGTGAAAGCCCTCATGTAAAATATCTTCTCAATGCCCATGAGCCGCTTAGGAGGATTGCTCCCCAGAAAGTTGAGATGGTGCACACAATGTGTGCTGTTTTCCATTGTGTCCTATGACCGGGCTAACAATATCATTGTAGAGCGCTTAGAATTGGTTATCATCCATATTAGGCGCTATATAAATCGAAACATGAGTATTATTCATAACTTTTATTCATAACTTATTATTGGCTTCTCTAATAATTACAATGCCTACGTTATTTTAGCACTTTGCAACTCCGAAACAAGAGGACACTGTAGTAACCACGATTAGACAGGGCTATGGGGACATTATTTGTATATATATGAATAGCATTTTATTTGTGATCATGAACGTCGATCAAGGGGGTCATCTGACCGACTTCCTGTACAAGTATGTTCAGGAATTCGCGCTATATGCACATTCATGTGCATGTGGCTTGTCAAGATTGGTAGAGCGCATGCTTTCCGATAATAGGAGCCCGAGTTCGAACCCTTCCCACTGTCTTTTTGTCCTTCAGCAAAACAACTTTTCTACAATTATTGATGCTCTATACTCGGGAGTATAAATGAATACCCAGGTAAGACCCCTCATGTAAAAGATCTTCTCAATGCCCATGAGCCGCTTAGGAGGATTGTTCCCCAGGGAGTTGAGATGGTGCACACAATGTGCGCTGGCTTGAAATGTTTCCTATGACCGGGCTAATAATATCATTGTAAAGCGCTAATCATCCAAAATTGGCGCTATATAACTTGAAATATAACTTTTAATCATAACTGATTATAGTTATTATAGTTAACTAATATTGGCTTTAGTAATTATTACAATGCCTACGTTATTTTAGCACTTTGCAACTCCGAAACAAGAGGACACTGTAGTAACCACGATTAGACAGGGCTATGGGGACATTATTTGTATATATATGAATAGTATTTTATTTGTGATCATGAACGTCGATCAAGGGGGTCATCTGACCGACTTCCTGTACAAGTATGTTCA